CGCCCTCCTGCTAAAATTCTGAGTGATGCTTGTGTAAATTCACATTTCCTCTGGGAAATTTCAAAGATCTATACTATATAACTCTATAGCTAGAGAAGCAACACAAATCCCTTCACACAAATCTACAAAGATGCAAATCTACAGTGAATCAGAAGAAAATCTGTATCGCTTTCCTTGAACCAAGATGATGCAAACTAAAGCAATAATCATGGATATAGACTGGCTTCGGAACAAGTGGCCAGGAGCTATCTTTTTGTACTAATGCATAGAACACAACTGAGAACAGTGCACAGCCAGTCTGGTAAGAGAGAAAAATGCAATAGTTCATGCAATCGGGTCGCTCCAAAATCATCTTTCAAGCATTTGGTGTTTTTGCATCAGTTTGTCAGCTTCACCATTTCCTGGCGACAGTGGACAGTTTGCACTTCTTTGCCTCCTGAGCTGAAATAAGAAGTGCCTTACCTAGCACCAGCCAAACTATGTACCTCCTCATAACTCCTAAGGGAAACTCCAACTCTCCTACTGACCCAGGTTCCAACAGTCTAATATGAAAATGCTTCTCTGGACACTGGTAATCACACTTGCTGCTGAAAAACACTCATATGACCTCAAAGCTGTATAAGAGTCCTCATTGATCGGCGTAGAAAAAAGCATACGAAAATTTGCCCTTCCTAGTACAGAAAGGAACATTATTTCTCTGTAAAAATCACGTTATTGCCAAGGGACTAAGTAGTTGTATACAAAGTGAACATCTAAAGAACATGCATACAGAAACAAGCCTAAGTAAGCAAGATGGCTCTCAGGTGTCCTTGATTTTAGAAACACATGTTACTGCAGACTCAAGGAGATCTCACATCTCCATTATGCAATGGCAACAGGCTTTGGTAAGCACTGAATCTATAATGGAGCAGTACAGTACACTGACAAGCTGGCTTAAGTTTTTTTCCATTTTTGTCTGAAGGTCTTTCCTAGATGGCAACACAAGCCCCAAAAGACAAGCCCCAAAAGTTGCTTTCAAATCTTTAAATCCGGGGTAGAAGAAAGCTGTCAATACTCACTGATGCTTCACACAGTGCCAGACCACCTTGCAAATTACTGCAAGCATCTGTCTAGCAAATGTTAGCCAGATAAATCTGGGGAAGGCTGAACAGAGAAATCCTGAGAACAGAACCACCTCGCTCAAGCTGCAATATAGCTCACTTGATGATTGTAACAGCATGAGAAAACCTGACTAACACTCAGCCTATTTATCACCCTAATGAGTCAATAATTCTTGGTGCTCAACAGCTATAGTCCTTAATCAGACCAGAACTTTCATGCAGCTGAAGAAATTGATTTAACCACTGTCTAGCAGCAAGAACAGGGAAAAACAAAGACAGCCTTAACTAACATGCTTCCCAGTTTCTAGCAGTCATCAGTTGAAATGTAATCAAAGTTAAGGCCCTCATCACAAATAAGAGACTTTTTTTTTTTTTTCTCCTCCAGAGGTAATTGCACAAGAGCATAACATTTTATTTCCATGATGCTCGATTACATTTTTCAAAGACTGGGAATAAAGAACAGCAAAAGTTTACCTTAGATTCCTGATTGGGTCCAATATGCATCAGTGGATCACTTCATTGTAAACAACACTCTCTTCAGATGACAGCTTCTTTCACGAGAGAATGTCGTGCACAAGTGAGTAAGGAAGGTCTGCAGGTTCCAGATGATGTAAAGGAGCTCTGGTGCCCTACTATAAAATGCACCCTTCATAACAGCAGACAGTGCAAGCCTTCATCAACAGATAAGAAAAACAGTGAGTGACTTAACTGTCTTCCCTTTTAAAACAGTGGAGCGTCAAGGTTTTCTGTCAATAAAGACAGGATTGAGTAGAGAAATGGCAGCAATTACAGCAAGCCATTCAGCAGCACCATGCAGCACTGATTTATTTTAGGCCCAGTGCTGACAAACTCTCCAGTGGACAGTCTTTAATACTCAAATCTTGAGAGAACCTGATGAAGAAATGGACAAACTTAGTCACAGTTAAGCTACTAGTGGAGACATTACTGCTAGCAGTGAGCTAATTAAGCAAAAGAAACAAGGAGAGGCTGTATTCTGGGAATTGATAGTTCAGCTGCCCTGGAGAGTAACAAAGCCATACTAGAGACATACTAGCTACGTACTAGAGAATCCAGTATCATTTTGCTTTACATCCTCACACACAAAAGGGAGGCATGCAGTGCAAACAAATGCTTTCATGCATTTTATGAAAGTAAAATACAAAAAAATCTTGTTTCAAATGACACTGTGACACTTCTCAGGAAAATGTAAAATCAATAGAAAATGGAGTTCTTCAGCTGACAAGACTACAGAACGAACTTCTTAAGGGGCCAAAAAAAGAGCCAATGTGTTACTCAGACTCACTGCAAGTGAACATAAGACAATCCAAATCCTCAGTGAAAACATCAAAGCTTCCCCACTTCCACCTCTTAATGCAGAGAGGTGTAAACTGAATTAACAGAGCAGGCTGCTAACTATTTACAGTAAGGGCTATGCAGATCTTTGATAACAGCTCCTGCACTAGCACGAAAGGCCAAAATAATTTCTTTCCCAAAGCATTAATTATAGAAGTGATGTTTTCTCTTGTTTAATGACAAACATTTAAAATTGGTCTACGTAGCAATTTGCATAATCACAGAATCACAGAATGGCCAGGATTGGAAGGGACCTCAAGGATCATGAATCTCCAATCCCCCTGCCACACGCAGGGCCACCAACCTTCCCACCTAATGCTAGACCAGACTGCCCAGGGCCCCATCCTACCTGGCCTTGAACACCTCCAGGGATGGGGCATCCACAGCCTCTCTGGGCAGCCTGTTCCAGTACCTCACCACTCTCTCTGTAAAGAATTTCCCCCTGACGTCCAACCTAAATCTCCCCTCCCTCAACTTAAAACCATTTCCCCTCATCCTGCAGTTATCAACCCTTTCAAAGAGTTGATTCCCCTCCTGTTCATAGGCTCCCTTTAAGTACTGCAATGAGGTCACCCCGCAGCCTTCTTTTCTCCAGGCTGAACAAGCCCAGATCCTTCAGCCTGTCCTCATAGGGGAGGTGCTCCAGTCCCCTGATCATCTTTGTGGCCCTCCTCTGGACCCTCTCCAACAGCTCCCTGTCTTTCTTGTACTGGGGGCTCCAGACCTGGACGCAGTACTCCAGATGGGGCCTCACAAGAGCAGAGTAGAGGCGACCAATCGCCTCTCTGTCCCTGCTGGCCACCCCTCTTCTGATGGAGCCCAGGATACCATTTGCCTTCCGAGCCACAAGGGCACACTGCTGGCTCATATTAAGTTTTTCATCTATCAAGACCCCCAGATCCTTCTCCACAGAGCTGCTCTCAAGGACCGCTCCTTCCAGTCTGTATAAATGCCTGGGATTCCTCCGGCCCAAGTGCAAAACTCTGCACTTTGCCGTGTTGAACCTCATCAGGTTCACCCGGGCCCACCTTTCTAGCCTCTCGAGGTCCCTCTGAATGGCATCCCGTCCTTCAACCGTGTTGACCGCACCACTCAGCTTGGTGTCGTCAGCAAACTTGCTGAGGGTGCACTCGATTCCGTCATCGATGTCATTGATAAAGATGTTAAAGAGGACCGGTCCCAAGACAGACCCCTGGGGGACACCACTCGTTACCGGCCTCCACCTGGACATAGAGCCATTGATGACCACGAAAAAATTAGTAAAAATTAGTAAAATTATTAGTAAAACAAATTAGTAGCAAAATAGGTGTATCCACATGCAACTTAGTAGCTAAGATAGGCAGTATATCCTGCTGAGCAGATGCAACAACAAAAAAGAGTAAGTTTTACAAAGGTATCAAAGTTGCTTTAAAAAAACACTTGAGAAGGGAAAGAAAAAGAAGGTACTTAAGGCATAAAAGTAGCAAAGATATCATTATTGGTACAGCAATTTTTTCTTCAAAAAAAATTATCCTCTTAAATTTAGACATGAAAACAATATATTTAAAAACACTTAGCCAAAGCTAACCACACCACCATTTGCATGACTGCTCCAAAAAAAAAGAAAAGAAAATAGAAAACAACTTCTTAAATAAACACCTTATTTTAACTAAACAGGCATATATATGAAATGCACACGACATCTTTGGCCAGAATTGTTAGATGTCACCTTACAAAATGTCTTTCCCTAAAAAGGGCCAAACAAGAAAAAAAAAAATCCCTTTTTAATAAATATATTTTCTTTAGAGTTTAAAATTGTGAAGTATTTACATAAAAAGTAGTACAATTCAAAAATATCTTAAGGAAGGAATGTCTATACATAAGCTGAGTTATAAATATGCATGACATCACTAAGAGCAGCTGTGCTTGTGCATTAATGCTGCAAAGTTTGTACCACCTTGCAGAAAATACTTTTAAGAAATGTAAAGAACTAAATAAGCTAGAAATAATACTAGTTTTAAAACATGTTAAAGATATACTTCTGTTGCTATTAAAGCAAGATCTAATGATAAGAATAGTTTGTCATTCTGAAATGCAGTGATTACTACTAGTGTACATTTAATATAAATGCAAACAAAGTTTACTAGTCTTAAAAACAACACTCTTGATGCTATGTGCTGAGAATACTCCATATATCAGTTTATTTTGCATGTAGAGGACAAAATCTAGTCAGTGTAATAATTTTTCTGCAAGTAAATAGTAAATAGTAAAGTGCTTATTTTCCCATGAGAGTTTGTTCAGTGTGAGAATACTGGGTCTTGCAATGTCCTATAAAGCTTTCAATTTAAAGGTTAGTTATAAAAATAAAAAAAAAAAAAAATAAGGAAAAGAGTTTTAATGCCCCTTGCTCATTTTAGCAGACATGCAATTTGCCCTTTTCACATATAAAGTGGACTCAAGAATTTCCACTGTAAGAAAAAAAATGATTTGGCAAGCCAAACACTGTGTCAAGCTGCCTGTTTTATCTCTGTAGACGTGGATATTTTAAGACAGAAGATCTGCAAGACATTACACAATTATTCTTGCTTTTATTATTAAATGAGAAAGTCTGAATTGTTACATTGTCACATTGCTAGTCAAAAATGCTGCAGCGATGAAGACAGTCAATGCTGGGTCAACCCAAGTCCTTGTTCTACAGCATTCGTTTACAAAGAAATTATAGTCATATTCAACACACCCAACACAACATTCTTTGCTTTCTTCAGAGTGCAGTTCCATCATTCTTCCTCTAGCAGGGCATGTTACTACATATATTAATTTTTTTTTTTTTGGACAATACATCCCCATATTTTCTTAGTATCAAAACAAGTTTCTAGAGATGTTACAGAAATCTTCATACATCATCATCATCTGATGTATCACTGCTGCTTGTCTCAGAATCTTCATTTTCCAGAGCAGGTTTGAAAGTGCTGTTTTTCCAGGGGCTAAATTTAAAATTACAGATGAGGCCGTTTTTCAAAATGCCATTTTTCCGTAGACCATTTTTTCGTAACTAAAATGGGAAAACAAGATGTTTTTAGGGAGAGGAATAGCTACACTCAACAGTCCACTGAATTTCAGCATTCTCTGTATTCTAATGTATGGGCTGCATTGGATCCACAGCATTATCGGTTATACATGCACACAAAGAAAAATTCATCTGAGAACCTTCACTTCTGGACCAGTTAACTGCCTCCCAGAGCTTCTCCAATTGCACTAAGCTAAGCTCCTGCAGTGATCAAATATAATCTCTCCCCATCCACTTCTCAGATGTTCTCCCCACTACCCCTCCCATATGACCTCTCCTGTGACACGGTCCCTTTTTCAGAAAAACAAAGCAGAATGCCTAGATCACCTAGTGAATTGCACTTTCCTCAATTTCCAGTGAAGAAAGACAAGGAAGTTGAAACCATGACAGAAAAATTCCCTTTCCTCAGGTTGAGCTGAAGAGCTAGAAGTCCTGTGCAAACCTGCAACTTGAAAATAAGCGCTGCTTCCCCTATCTTTTTAAACCAACTGTTCTTCTGAAAGGGCAAAGGAGACAAGAAAGGAAAGAAAAAGGGTACTGAAATAACACCATCTCTAACCATCAGAATTACTGGAGATCCTCCTCAAGATTAGGTACTTAGAGTAGCCAACTCTAGTAAGTTTGTAAGAGGACATTAGTGTAGCATTACCTGTTCACTAATGACTTGGAACTCCCTCATCTCGTCTTCTGTCAGTGGAGCATATATTTCATCATTTTCACTATCTTCCTGCCAGCCCATTTCCTTTAACAACCTTAGAAATAAAGTAAGAAACATGAGGGAATTTCTACACACACAAAGGCACTTCAAGCTCTTCCTATACAGATATGTAAAAATATGTAATAAATGTATTAGTTCACCATTTTTCAAAACAGATTTCTAACCCAGTTTTATGCAAAAATTTAAAATAAGTTCTATAAGCACGAAGTTAGCATCAACTGTGAAGGATCTGATATTATGCCACTATATGTTTGGGTTTAAAAGCTGCAAAAACTAAGCGTTAAGAATGTGTTTTTTAGATAAAGTATTAATTTCACGTGAATATCCTCTCCATCACTTGCATATGTCAAACACTGCATTTCCTGCCATCAGGTTTCACTTGCCAAATAGATGCAGCTCCCTCAATAAATCTAATGAACACACTGGCACAGAAGTCAAATGTTCTCACTCCAGGATCATTTCTAATCAGTGACAACATTCCCAGACATAGCTGCTCTTAGCATAAGATGACGAAACTTTCAAGTAAACTCTAATGGAAATCAGCCATTAAAATATAAATATATATATAGCGATATATTACATTATATATATAAAAACAGATATATATATATATATATATATATGTTTTCCCTATTCTGTTTCAGTTGGATGGGTGCTCTCCAGGACTGCAGGAATAAATAAAGCAAAAGAGAAAACAATTTGGAACATGTACAGATTCAGCTGTTGATGCATAGGGTTTCTCTTGAAAGCTTATCCATTGTTGGCACACTGTGGACTTCACAGCATATCAAATTGCAATCTGTGTTCTCAAGATACATGTTATCCAAGGGAAATGACTTGAGTACAAGCAAGTGACCTTGGCTACCACTACGATATTCATCATATTCCTAAGGTTCAAGATGGAAGAAAGTAATGCCTTCATTTTAAGGTGAGACATCTACCTAAGGTAGAGAAGAAAAAATATACTTCTGATGGAGCAGTAGTGTACCTCCTCAAAAATAGTGTTAAGAGAAAAAGATTCACACTGAGGCAGTCTGCAGACTTCTTTTCTGGATAACAAAGCAGCTATGAAAAGTGCTGGTGATGTCCTTCCATGTGACTACAGCTACGAGCAAGTTTTGGGATATGGGGAGGAAAAGAAACAGAGACACACCTTTTGGATGATTACAGTTGAGGTATCCAAGGATGAAATAATCAAAGTGTTTCAGCCAGTGCCAAAAATGGGACAAGAATAACCAGGCACAGAGAAAATACATTTAGATGTGAAGATATTGTGGAAACAGGGTTGATCACAGGCATGTCCAACCCACAGGTTGCATGCGGTCTGCCCCCTGCCCCAGGCCATCACAGTGACAGCCTTTCCCTGCTGGGCAGGCCAGTCCAACCCCAGGCACACACCCACTGCTCAGCAACAAGAAAACAGTGTGCAGTCAGCACTGTCTGGGCTGAAACCAAGGAATGGGGGGGTGCAAGTTACAAAAAATAATGCATTTTGATACACTAGCTAAGCACGGTGAACAGCAAGAAGTATGCAGACATTTTCTGTTTAGAGAAAGAAATTTGAAAGAGGTTTCAAGATTGCCAAAACAATCATCAGTTTATGTTTGTGACTCCATTTTCTGCTAGCAGAAATAGACTACCTGTTAATTTTCAAATGAACTACATAGAGCTGCAATCAGATATTCCAATTAAAAATTGGATCATGTCTCATGATTAGGCTTTCCTCTAAGTTCTATCTTAACAAAAAAAAATCTCCCTCACTTCAGAGTCATGCCTTACTCAGTCACTGCTTTTTGGTAGTGCATATGTTTATGAACAATTATTTTTAAGGATGAAGCACTGGAAGAGCAAAATTTCATCAAAAATCTCTGATGAACACCTTAAGAAGAATCGGAACCACTTCCATCAACCAGCCTGATGCATTTATTTTACAAAAACAGGGTCAAATATTCCACTTATTTTATGGTTTCGCTCCTCTTTCTTTCCATAGTGTTTTCATAAAAGTATTAAAAATTGAAATATTTTCTTACTATATATATATGTGTGTGTGTGTGTGTGTATGTATATATGTATAAGTAAGAAAATATTTATATATGTATTTGGCTGCTCCAAAAGTAATGCTTCATATTTTATTATACTTGTCCATAACACCACAAGCAGATGTGAGTGGTATGAAAGTAGAGATTGAACCTTACCACCAATATTCTGTTACATTTTGTTGCCACGTGACAGACGGCAGTAGAGGGACAGTCTGACAAAATGCTGTCATGGAAATGTCATGGAAATGCGAATGAAGCAAAGTGTGTCACTGAATTCCTCCACGCAGAAACAACAGCACCCACTGATGGGTTCACGCGAGGGAGGTTCACGCGAGGGAGGTCACGCTTGACCAATGTGGTAGCCATCTACAACATCATTAAGGGCTAGGTGGATAGGGAGAGTGCAGTGGATGTAGTCTACCTTGATTTCAGCAAGGTGTTCGATACTGTCTCCCACAATATCCTTACAATGAAGCTGAGGAACTGTGGGATAGATGAGTGGACAGTGAGATGGGTTGAGAACTGGCTGAATGGCAGAGCTCAGAGGGTCGTGATCAGTGGCACAGAGTCCAGTTGGAAGCCTCTATCTAGCAGTGCTCCCCAGGAGTCGATGCTGTGCCTGGTCCTGCTCAACATCTCTATCAATGTCCTTGATGAGGGGACAGCGTCCACACTCATCAAACTTGCTGACGATCCAGCAAGACCTGGATAGGCTGGAGAACTGGGCAGAGGGGAACCAGATGAGGTTTAACAAAAGCAAGTGCAGAGTCTTGCACCCAGAGAGGAATATCCACATGCACCAGTGCAGGTCCGGGGATGATCTGCTGCAGAGGCACTCTTCAAAGTGGGACCTGGGTACCCTGGTAGACGACAGATGGGCCAAGAGCCAGCAGTGTAACCTGGTGGTCAAGAAGGCCAATGGCATTAAAAGAGCATGGCTAACAGGTCAAGGAAGGTGATCTTCCCAATCTATTCTGTCCTGGTGAGGCCTCACCTGGAATACTGAGTTCTGTTCTGGGCTCCTCAGTACAAAAAGGACAGGAATCTCCTGGAAAGAGCCCAGCAGAGGGCCACAAAGATGATAAAGGGCCTGGAGCATCTCCCCTTCACTGAGGAGAGGCTGAGCAATCCGGGTCTGTTCAGTCTTGAGAAAAGAAGACTCAGAGGGGATCTGATTAATGTCTATAAATATCTAAATATTTTTGTAGGAGGCAAAGGGACAAGGCCAGACTTTTTTTCAGCAGTGAGTGGAGACAGAACATGGGGAAATGGCCACAAACTGAAGCATAGGAAATTCTGCACAAATGTGCATACAAACTCTTCACAGTAAAGGTGATGGAGAATGGGAGGAGGCTGCCCAGCGAGACTGTGGAATCTCCTTCTCTGGAGATATTCAAGATCTGCCTGGACAACCATCTGCACAACCTGGTCTAGGGAGCCTGCTTTGGCAGGGGGGTTGGACATGATGATCTCTAGAGGTTCCTTCCTCCCTTCTACAGTTCTGTGATTCCGTGATATATCTGGAGACTGTGGATGTGAGCACAGTAAGGCAGTGGGTGGTGCTTTTCAGCAGTGACAACAGCAACCATTCTCTCTGGTGCAGGTTCTGACAAGCATGCCATGCTGGCAAAAATGCAAAGGTAATCATGGTGATTATGTTGAAAAAGCATGTCTGTAGCTGAGAACTTTCCCTATCAAACAGAGTTGTTGTGCTGATTGTATCTGTTGCAGTTTCCACGGAAATAAATAGGAGACATTACATTTCGAGCAACTCATTCCTCTTCAATAAGTGTCGTTCAGGCAAGCTAAAAGGTTGGACATCCATGGTTTATTTTACGGCAAAGACACTGTGGCATTTAATGATGTTCACATATTCTCTCACTGAAAAGATTCTGTCTAAAGAATAAGCACCTTCTTCAGGCAAACCAAACACCTGTAGACCTTGTATCTTAAAAGAAATAAAAGCTGTTTCACAAAAAGTAAAAAGGGTTCTAATACTATATGCCAGAACTGGCACAGGAAACTGACACTCAGAGTTGGATAACAGTGAATATATTAAAATAGAGGTTGTAAGATGATTCAAGTTGATGCCTGATGTAAAACCTTGCCTAGAAAAAATTCTAGGTCCAAATACAACACAAGTGCAGTGAATAAATGTGCAAGTGACTAAAATGATATCATTAACCATTATTAAAATCACATTAAAAGCCCAGAACTGTAGTAGAGGGAGAGAACAGTACTACTGAGTCTGCTTTAAAAAGTTAACAGGACAATAATGGAAATTGCATCCTGTGTATTGTTTAGACACGATTAGACAATGTGATGCTAGGAAAAGTGATACTGTCAGAAAGCAGAACAAATAATATGTATGTCATCTAAAATTTTTGTGACAAAATATATCCACTTGCATGCACATACAAAAAAAATACTTTCAGTGATATAGTTTTAGCAACAATTATTTTTTATAAAGTTTTACTGCAAGCATGCTAGAATGTTAACAGTATTACGTATAATTAAGTGGATAGCTACACTGCTTCTGTTAATATAAGTAAAGTTGAGGATAGTAGCTAACTAACTTAAGCAACATCATCTAAAGCTGACAGGACCGCTGCATCTTTAAAGCAACATTAGGAACTACACATAAAAAACTACACTTCAGTTTAACAAACTTCACACCAGCAGGATAAGTACATAATCAGAGCACAATGAAGCCTTCTGTAGCAGAAGGAAAACCCAAAACACATTTTGCACATGTGCCAATTCAGTTATTAGGCATGCACAAGCTTCCAGTGAGTTGGCCACTTCAAATCAGATTTCCTCTTAAAGGCCTACTGCAACACCTGTTTACATGCCACAGGTCACAGTCAAGAGCCTAGTGCAGAATACAGATGCATAGTATCTCTGGAATATCACAGAGAAGCTTGCCTAGAAACCCTATGAAGGCGATTCAAAGTAATTTATATTAACCGAGAGTTAGGTTAAACTTCTATCTTCTAGTCAAAAATTACTGCCAGCAGCCACTAGCAGCCCAAGTTCTGTCTCCACAGCCAATGGGTGGGAGAGGAATAGCATACAATCACTGTAGAAAAGATTGTGATTTCCTTAGTTACCAGAAACAGTTTAAAAGAGCTCACAACAAGCTCATCTCCATACTTGGGCTATGACTTCCCAGCAGGGCCATTCTCATCTCTATCATGTTATTATTAACTTCAATCCTTGGAATTTATTTTTCCCTTTCCACTGCACTGACTTACAATCCCACTAACCACATCAAACAGCTATAAAAATAATCTTTTATTTAGCAACAAGGAAAAAGTGGCTGGAGTTTCACATAATATACGGTATTTAAAGCATCATTAGAAGAGATAGGAATGATATGCACTGTTCCTCTGAGATATGCAGATCCAGTTGCTTTTTTTTTTTTTTTTTTTTTTACAAGGAAATAAATTCTTAGTAAAGCAGGTTAAAGATGACAATATATATAAGGTCTATAGAAATAAAGTAATTCCATGTTAAATTCATACTGCTAAACTTAAATCTTTTACAGTATGCTTAAAATACGTTTTGTGTTCTCAATTATCACATTCTGAATTCTAAGCTAGTAAGAATTTAAGACATGATTATATACGACCAAGAAACATTTTATGTAAGAAGCACATACCTATGCTCTGCCTCAAGCGAGCTTGAAAGAATATTTGCCTGAGGAAAAGCTGAAGATCGAATGACCTGTTGAGATGTAATTGAAGCATTGCCATTCTCTTGTGGAATTTCATTTTCAAAGTTTCGGTTTATATCTCTCTCATGATGAGTACTGTTGCTGTTATGCAAGTTAAGGGAGTCACCATCCTGTTAAAATATAATATATATATTGCATAGTTCACAAGTAAATTCCATTCTGAAAATGCTGCAGTTGACTGATTCTGCTGAATTTAAATGGAGAATTACATTTCAATAGCATTACAATACATGGACACTACACAACTCTTAAGTTATACCACTGAACTAGTAAAGTAGAAAGCAAGTCCCGTGCTCTGCCTCAAACTTTTCTGCAAAGTTTTAAACATATTTTAAAAATTCAAGCTTATTTGTAAGTGTATGAAAAATATCTGTTGAACTTAAAAACAAGGTTCCTAATTTAATAAAAATTCTGTGTGACTGGCAAAGTTTGAAAGCACAAACTACTGGGTTTAAATTGCAGGTCACAGCCATCATGTATCAACCAGAAATCTCACCTTCAGCATGTTCAGGAAGACTGAATGCTGTGCCCTACAGTCATATTACACCCACAGTACTTCTCACTCTGTTACTGCAGTGGTAACTTACTAGCCATGACATAAGAACTTGGAAGAGAGTTTGTTAAGAAAACAAATTGTTAGGGCACACACAGCTTTTTAAAGTTCTTTAATCCTATAAACCTAAAATGTTTCTTTGTATTCTACTCTTCCAGCATTTCTAATTCTTACTCAGTACACTTAGCCAAACAGCCTCGGAAGTCTTAGCAACTAAAAGAACAAAGAAGCAAGCATGATTAAGCTACCCCCTTTTTTACAACAGAAGTCTCAGAGCTGGCATAAAACACTGCTATCCATAGCAGGAGGTAACCACTCAGTCAGCAAGTTTTGCATTGCAAGTAATCCTATTTCTGAATATAGAATTGAGCGCATAAACAGCATTCCCCTTTCACTCAGTGGTAGCTGCTTCCAAAACACTTCAGAATGCACACCAAAGATTTCTTAAAATTTAAAAATGATATCCCAGTAAATATATAATCAGCTGTTAAATCATAAACATGGAGAATCTAACTCAGATTATCAGAGAACATTCATAAGAACATTAAAGAACTCTAAGAATGTATTAAATGTACTGGGGCAAGAGAGCTTCCTCCAAGCATGACTCAGCTGCCCATCACCATCTGCCACATTATTTCAGTCCCCACCACTGTGGAAAGTAAGACAAGTACTACTGGTACATGATTGTTTGTTTTGTTTTTTTAAACTTCAACTTCCTTCCATTAAACATCAATGGCAACAAGATACACGTAATTACTAAATACTCCAAGCTGAATACAAATGTCCAAGGATATTATGACTTCTACTGCTAAAAATGCTTTTTTTCCACCCAAATACACTGTCTCTGAATAACAGCTATGTACAGTGGGACAATCAAATGCATTTGAACTTCAAGTACCATGAAGATATTAAGAACTCAAAACAATTCCAGGAACTCAAACTGCTATAAGGTTCACACAGTAATTTCCACTGTTCCACACTGTGTTTTCCAAGATCTTTCTAAGCTTCAATCAAAACCTCTTTGCATTTCTTAAACACCACTGCATCCGACGTCTTAGAGTACATAGAAACAGAATGTCTAATGAAAAGATGCAGCTGATACATACAGTCAAGTTTTATTTTGCCCAAAATCAAAACAAGGTCAGAAAAGTCAGTTTCACTTTCAGGAGCAATGCACAGTTGCACCTTTCCTTTTTCCATATCTCGGAATCAAAATAATTCTTCTTCAAGACTAATTTTTGTTATATTGCTCATGTAATCGCTTCACCTAAATAACATATTACTTACTAATACCCATACTAAATAAGCTAACCCTGCTTATGGCTTGTTACTTCCTGGTAGCAGAGACATGAATACTCTCAATGCCAGCCAGGCAGAGTGATCCAACAAGAAAGAAACCTGACAAATTAATATATACAGCATAGATTTCCTAGGTATCAATCAGGAAGCAGAAACAGGTCCCTTATACGTGCATAAATAAAAATACTGCTCCTATGACTACATTAACAACAGAGAGAGCTTCTGGGTATTTAAGAAGTCTTATTAAAAAGGAAACAATCTGAAAAGCAGAACTAAGTTTTTCCATTACTTATTTTTCTAGGATTATTAACAGCCAAGTTGCAAGACACTGCCCTCCTGAAAGATTAGGTTACCTAGAGAGATGGCAGTTATCACTTCAGAAAGTTTACAAGAAAAGGAAAAGGCTAGATGTCACAATGAGTGACAAAGTTTAGCAGACACATGGACTGATGTTTGGACTAGGTAGTATTAGTGGTCTCTTCCACTATGATCCTATTGTTGCTAAAGGCTAAGATGTCCTTGGAATAATGTCATCTATCAACAAATCTGGCAATAGAAAAAACAAATCATTAAGACTCAGTGGAGAAAGTAGCATTCAGAGCAAATCCATCTAAAGGTAAAGTCCCTTCCTGCATCTGGAGATCCAGGATCACAACTGAACTGCTGCTCAGAGGAAAAAAAAAAAACATAGGTTACTTTCAGTCTGAAACCCATTACTGCTGGGTATACAACAGATATGAAGAAAATTACCTTCTCTTGCTCAGCATTCTCATCCTCATGTTCTTCTTCCACTCTCTCTCGTTTCAGTGCTTTCAAAAATTCACTCTTCTTATCAGTCCGCATTCTTGTCAATTTTGTTAAACGAGGCTGACCAACTTTGTCAACAGGGGATGAAGAATTTGACCGATTACACTAATGTAGGGAGTGAAATAATAAACAGGACTATTAGAAGTACAATTATTTATAAAACACTGAACAAAAGACACAAAGCTTCTCAGGAACTAGTATTACATGTATATCCAGAGTCTAAAGCAGAGGGAAAATATTTGTATTTTAGTGTTTATGCTCATCACACACAGACAAAGGGACTCAAGTGTATGGAGCACTGCTAATAGTTGAGCTAGTGCACTATGTTCACTGCAAACCAAACCTGCAAACAAGCCATGCAGTATCTGAAGACCACCACCAAGGTACCTTCCACAGTACCCACTCTCACATTTACTCCAAAAAATATACTTATTTAATACAGTTCAATGTAAAATCTACTTATCCGCTTATTTAACCTAACAAATTAAAAATTATATACATGCAATTAAAATTACAGCCTTGGCTTTACCTCTCTCACTACGTTCTGGGACACAGGAAATGCCTTGGCAGTTGATTTGAAAGGACTGAAATTGCCACTACCATATGAAGATTCGTGAGGAAATGGATTTACAAGTTTATTTTCTTTTGCTTGGCTTTTCCACTGTGTATGCTTAAAAATACATAAGGAATCATTAAATACAATAGGATTATTTTTTAAAATCTCAAAAAAAACCCCCAAAAACTAAGCAAAAGCAAAACAATTACAACCGTTTACAACTCTGCATAAACATGTTTTCTTGTAGGATAGGATAGAGACTGTTTATGAGCAATTCATCTTCTCAGAAATACTGTTTATGTTATTCATATAAAGAGTTAGATCTAAAAACAATTAAAACCCTCATTATATATTAAGATTAAGATAAGAAATATGAGAGTCTTCAGCAGCTGCAATTAATGTTTTTAATGCATTAAGCTGCACAGTTAAGAACAGCTCCATCAGATGCTCTTAGGAATACAGATATTCCCAGAGCAAAGCCAAAAGATGAACATGGAAAAAAACTTATGGAATGGGACCAGAATAGTTCTAGTAGGTTGCAGTATTACCCACATCAAGAACTGGGTTAAATTCTGACAGTATTTTTAAGCCAGTTATTGCTCTCCTTTTCAGTTAAAAATATACACGCAAAAAGCAATGCTATTTCATAAATTAAAAACATCGTTCTCATGTGGACAACTCTCAGGCTTGTCAAAATATGTGAATGAGAAATAAATAGAAATTCAATTACAGCAGAATTTTAAAAAAAAGCATTTCAAGTTGTTTCTGGGGCACATGGCTCTTGAAGTATTCTATACTTTCAACACTTGAAAGTATGCTTTAAGTACAAAATTCTCAGGGGTGAAATAGCTAATTTTGAATGTGCTTTTTTTTTTTTTTTTCCCCCTCCCAGCATGTAATTCATGCCAATACTATCAAAGACTCACCTTTGCAGATGGAGTGGCAGGTTTAGGGACTAATCCTTTATAAACACTTGTGCCAGTACCATTTTTTACTGGCTGTGAATGAAGACTTCCTACTACAGGGAATCCAGATATCTGCAGTTCTTTTGTACTGCCCTTTTTAATGACAAGCATTCTTGGAGATCTGGATTTAGGGTTCAAAGGATACTCTAAAAAAAAAACAAAACAAAACAAAAAAAAACATTCTTGTGCATGTATATATAGTCCTAAGTTTCCAGTTCACAAGTTACTGGATAGCCATATGGTCCAGAGGCTTAAAAAGCAGGAACTTTGTTCAGCATTAGTTCTAAAATAACCTACTGTAGAAACCCAGATAAACTGAAGACCTGTTCCATTTTCTACAGCCATCATTAGTAAAAAAAATTTCTCTTGGCAACGCAAGAATTTTACTTTCAAAAAGTGAAGATATTCCTCAAAGAAACCAGCTACACAGCTCTTGTTGACACATCTAATATCAGAATACTGTTAATTGCCAATAGAATAAAACAGTTCAGTTGGAAGGGGTCTTCAAATATAATCTAGTAGAACTGTCTGACCACCTCAGAGCTAAAGAGAAGTTACAATACATTACAGAGGACATTACTCAAATGCCTCTTGAGCACTGATAAACAGATGGCATCTATACCCTAACCAGGAAACCTCTTGTAGTGCGAGACCACCTTAACTGTAAATAAGTGTTTCCTGTTATTCAGTCTGACCGTTCCCTGGCAGCTTTGTGCCATTTCGGTCCTGCCACCAGATCCAAAGAGCAGAGTGTGGCACCTCCCTCGGCTCACTCTGCTCAGGGAGCTGCAGGGAACAGTGAGGTCACCTCTCAGCCTCCTCTTTTCTAGACTGAGCAACCCAAATGCCCTCAGTCTTTCATCACAACACATGCCATCCAGTCCAGTTACCGGCTTCGATACCTCCTATGGATGCTTTCAATGATCTCAAAATCAGTTTTCAAGGTTAGGGTGCACCAACACTGAATATAGCAGGGACAATCACCTCTTAATAACTGGTTACATTGTGTTTAATGTACCCCAAAATACAGTTTGCCCTCTTTGTCACATCTTCAAAAGAAAGTACGGCTTTTATATTTCCCTCTAAGATTACTAAAGAATTAGTATTTGCATATTAACAGCTCAGTTTAGAGCCAAACATACCACACTGCGGCCTCTATAAACATGGCAGGAGTACATGCAAACTCCTCTAGACACAGCATCAACCAGTTTATTACCTCCATGTCATGGTTTCTCTTCAATCTTTTCAACAGTTCTAACCAGTAAGAAGCATTCTTTCACAAAGCTAGAAATCACACCACTAATACCAGTGACCCACTATTAGCACACTTCCTTTTGGGAGATAAATTCTTTATATCACAGAATCAGAGAATCACTAAGGTTGGAAAAGACCTATAAGATCATCCAGTACAACCATCCACCTATCACCAATGGTTCTCGCTAAACCATATCCCTCAACACAACATCCAAACGTTCCTTGAACACCTCCAGGGAAGGGGACTCCACCACCTCCCCGGGCAGCCCATTCCAGTGCCTGACCACCCTTTCAGAGAAGTAGTATTTCCTAATATCCAGCCTGATCCTTACAAAAAGATGCACACTCATTCTGGGCTAAGAACATTAGCTATGGCTACATCTAGAGACCAGAAGATTTATATCCAAACAGAAGTGTTACCTCTCCTACAAGAAGATACTCACACTGCAATACTGAAAATTCCTCAATTTCAATCCACATCCTAAAAGTAAGTCCTGTGTTTTGAATAAAACATTTTTTTACATTTTTGTATTCAATATCAAAAATACTCACCCCACACACCTGCTGCTAAAGATTTATTCTGGTTTGGCTCCCTCTCATATTCAGGATTCAAAGATGGCTAAAAGGAAAAGATATCATTATTTAAAATGAAATTTTAAAAGTCTTGAATTTTAGGACCATTTAAATAAATAATCATGACAGTATCCGTTGCCCAAGATTTTTAAATGGAGACAGAATATTTCCTCTGAGCACCAAATTTATCAATGCTCACTTGTTTCTCTTCTCCAACATTCAAGCAACAGTCAATACCATTATATTAACTGCCCATGGAAAACAAAATAAAACAAAGAAAAATCCACCAAAAAAAAATAAAATGGTGTATGGATTTTCAAAGAAAAAGCTCTGCTTTCCTCTTACACCTTAGAATTCTAGGTTGAAACGCAGAATTCCAAATGGTCAGAAAGACCACACTGTTAGTACTTTAGATTATCAAGTAAAGTAATTTCATAGACTTTAATACTACATAGACTTTAATACTACATATGCCACAGTAAACTGTAGCAAAAGACTATGAATTCAGAATCCATCTGTAGTTTTACTCTACAATAATAAAAATGCAATGATAAAAACGGGAGAGTAAGAAGAGAAACAAGTAAGTGGACAAATGACTCATATCCCCTTACCTATAGGAAGGGTGATCTCTTATATGATGATCTGTAACTGGTGAAATCTCATGAAGTAGCTTGTAATGGACAAAATGGCACTTGCAGAAACAACGAAACCTTGTGTATTATAATTACAATTAACTTACAAAATCCTCAGCCTCAAATTGTTTGGGTACTTCCTTGTCTTCCTTTTTCCCAGGATCATTATCAGGTACATTGTTTTCATGCAGTCCCTGGCTTTTTCCACAGTGGAAAGTGCTGGTACGAGAGCGGGAACCTCCGCCATGGTATCCTCCACGGTGGTTTATATTTTCTGTACCATTTCTGCCTTGTGAACGCCAACCATTCTTCTCTTTTCTCCCAAAATGCCCTTAGATTTTTAAATTTAAAAGAAACATAACTATAAGTAGTTTCGGAACAACAGATCTGCCTCTGCAAAGTTGTTAGAGAATTTAAGCAAGCAGCTCTATCTATACTATGAGACATAACTGCGTAGTGAACTTCAGTTTTCATTCATCATAACCAGCAGGAAAGACTCACGTAACAGTGATGGAAAAAGATGACAAAAGTCCATTGTAATGATTACTCAGCCTCCTTTCTTGGCTTTTCATTTACATGCTGTTGGCCAAAGAATCAGCTCCACAGCCTTCTTAAAAGACTACTCCAACCAGCCCATACTCCTCCTATCGTCTTCAAGAAGATCTGTCTTTGTTGCCTCTGTTTTACTACAGAACACAGCGCTTAACATAGGGCTAAGACTTTTTTTTTAGAAAGCAATGCTGTAAATGCATTTAAAACATTTCATGAAATCTAAGTTATACCTCCATTAGGTCGTCCAGTGTTAGGATCAAACCCATCAGAAGAGTTGTGCCTTCTGCGATTTGCTTCATAACGATTCTCTGTCCACGAAAAATTTTCAGAATGCTTCTCAAAGTTCAACGATGACTGTAAAGAAAATACCTGATCAATAACAAGAGCTGAATTATCAAAACTCTAGCATACGTATTATACGGTATATACAATTTTAAAGAGGATTTTGAGAGATGATACAGCAATTCTCAAGTATGTGCATGTTCAAAATTATGTCATCATCCTTTAAACCAGTAGAATCAGAAGGTATATTTTCCACTCCAGGACACCAAAAAGCACTGAGGACCATGATTGTGACACACAGCAAAAATCCAAGTGTTTATTTAAGTTTGGCACCAGAATGGAGACAAGTGATGTGCTACAGTAGAGGAAAAATTTTTTAAAAGGTAAGAAAGGAAGCAAGATCATATTTGGGAATGGAAGGCAAACATTAAAATTTATAACCTGAAGCCAACGGAACTGAAGCAAAATTGAGCATTGCTTTAGACTAGAGTGGGAGTGACAAATCTGAAGAGATGATGAAAGCACGTGAATTAAAAAAAAAAAAAAGGCAAAGCATAATCTGCAAGGCTATATAAATGCGAGAAGTTCTCGCCATGATAACCACTTCCCATATGCCGCAGGATCTACAACAGATACAAAGACCATAAGAACACTATTAGATAGAGCAAATTCTCTGCTACAAAACAATCTCTTTCAACAGTCACCACCATTAGCTGTGCAGTTTCACCAGCCATTAATGAGAGCCACACTCACAAAAATCTGCTCCAACAGAAGTGACCCACTGTCACCATCACCACTGCTAAAACACACCACCTACTGCCACGCTGTACTCATGTCCACTGCTTGGTCTCCATCAACTTCAAGCGCCAATGAATGTCAATGTGTACCATTTTTTTCCACATGGGGAAATTCAATGACACACCTTTGCTTCATCCACACTTCCACATCAATACACCACTGTATCAGACTACCCCTCTGCTGCAATCTGTCACACAATATAAATGTGTAATTGTATATTGGAGGGAAGGTTCAACATCTACTGCCTTACCACCAACATCCACCTCTGAAGTCATGGACCGACATAATAAAATAGGAGTCATTACTTCAAAAGCAGCATTAAATCATTAACACTGACACTAGGAATTCAGACTAACAGCAAGTATAGCTCTGCTTGTTGCCATTAACCCACACGATGCATCATTTAGAAATGGTGAGCAACTTTTGTAGCTACAAAGATAAACACTGAAAATATCATGCATGCAGCCATGAATGAACATGAATGAAAATGTAAGCCCCAAAGTTAAATTATCCATTAACACTAAACATGTTCCAGTAATATTTTAATTATTCCACTGATCAAAATAAGAAGGAAAACAAAAAAAAAAAAGAAGCCGCAGTAAGATATTCTGCTACTTTGGAAAGTATGTTGAAATTTTTTTTCCCACCACCAACTCTATCAAGGGACCAACACACAAAAACTCACTAGTTCTTTCATTAATACTATTTGCAGCACTCAAGGTGCTGTTCAAAATCCACTATTTGAAATCCAACCTCAAATAAATACATTTAAATACCAAGTATGCATTATCAAATTTTATAGAAGTCCCTCTCAATTTGAGTCCTGGAAACTTTGCAAACTTGGAGATCGGAGAGGAAAGAGAAAAAACAACCACGCAGTCAGAAAGCCACAAAAAATTGTCAAGTGATTTATGCGGTCAATAAATTGTAAGGAATCTCAATATCAGTTATAAGCAAGCTTTGAATTAGCCACTACAAACCCAAAAGCTCCAGACTTGCTGATTGTAGGTAACATTTTAGACTATAGCTTTGCATGTTACTTTACATAACAAGACCTACTAATATCGCCTTTGGAGCTTCATTTCTTTTAATAAGCCTGAAGAACAATCACGCTCTCTCAAAGTATAAGTGATAACACTGTATATATATACTGCTCAAGTCGTACTTGATATAATGCATCTAGAGCTGCTACACTGTGTGCAAAGATCATGCAGTTTGCATTTTCCCCACATGATGGAGATATCAGCCTATCAAGACTCTTGTTGCAAAGAACACAGAAACTTCGTAATCAAGAGGAAATTTATCAGCAATTTCTGGAAACAGAAATTATCTGACTCAATTCAGCCGGATAAGAAACAAAGCAAAACAGATTTCTGAAGCATAAGTCTTACTTTAACACAAAGTAACAGTTAACCTTGAAAAAAATAAAATAAATAAATAAAAGAATTCACCCTTCTATCTGCAATTGCCTCAGACGCGTTTTACAGAAATCCTTCCAGAAAAACTTTGTATTCCAAGATGGCCTCTTCACTTCAGCCCAATTACAGTACTGCAAATGTATTATTTCCAGGTCTGAACTAAGGCTTCTCAGCAGTTGACTACTTAGCTAAGTGGACTTTGCTATATAAGTAACAGGGAAATGATGTAAAAATTATCCTTCAGAAGAAATCAGTATCAATAGATGAAGTGGATTTCAGTCAAAATGTGAGCTGTATCAGTCATATTAAGAAAGCTGTAATGGTTTTATGATTTTTGGTTATCAGTATTCCACATCATAACATCATGTAGTGCACTGGGAGTTAAACTGTTAATGCTCCAGTTCTGGACACGTGTCCAGAAGAGAAGAAGAACTACATACCCCAGGGGGCTCCGCAGTCAGGGAGGAGATATAATCCCTGGCAAGGATCACCTGATGCGCTCTCCTTCGTCTGCTCTCCTTCCTGCTGCATCTCACCTCGGTGTTATGGTGAGGTCTATCCACCTTTCAGACACTCTCATTATATTTATTAGCTTTCATTCTAATTATATTGTATTATAGTGTCTTATCTTGCATTCCAATACCATATTTACTAAATTAGCTCGTTTCTCCTCAGATCATTGCTGCTGTTTTTAATTATTTTGGGGTCCCCAGTTTCCCTTCTCCAGAGGCGCGGAACCATGAAATTCCTTCACCCCACTAGTCATGCAACTGGGCCAAACCAGCCCGTAAACCATTGACAGAAATTACACCAATTTCACTCCATTGATTTTTCTAACACTAGCTTTTACCTGCATGAGGAAACAGCCCTAGCAATCCAGGATGGAGAAGGACCCAAACTCCCAAAACAACAGTTTCCCACAGTGCCTGCTCCAGGAAGCATAAGCTGAAAGGGCAGAGTTCAGTTCCTTCTTTTCAATTCTGTTTATACTGTTGCCTCATCCTAAGTCCACTTTGCATGAGGCACTTCCTATTTCATCCCATCCTTCATTTCTCTTATCTGTTCTTCTCTGCAGTTGCCTTGTTCAGATATGGGAAGCATCAAACACCTATTCAAGGAATTACTGGGGGTGAAAAATCCATACAGGTCACATCTGAAATCCCTCTTACATAGGAGTGACAGAATAATCCCGATTATATAAATTATGAATTACTATACATGGGCAGGACAAAAAAGACAGCTAAACACAAGAAAGTGTTTAGTAACCAAATGGGACACATACCACAAAATCTTCTTCACTGAAGGAAGAGGTAACACAACAGACAATGGAGCAAAAGTACCATAACAGAAAAAGCATACAAAGCTACAAAGTTTTTGGAATCACAGAACCACAGAATGGCCTGGGAAGGGCTATTCCAATGGGTTGAAAGGGACCTCAAGCATCAAACTCCAACCCCCCCGCCACAGGCAGGACCACCAACCTCCACATTTAATACTAGACCAGGCTGCTCAGGGCTCCATTCAACCTGGCCTTGAACATCTCCAGGAATGGGGTATCCACAGCCCCTCTGGGCAGCCTGTCCCAGCACCTCACCACTCTCACAGTTTAGAACTATATAGAACACACAACAGAGGAAGGAGTTGATAAAAGACAACCCATACCATAAATACTTTTATTTAATAGTACTGGGGTACTGCTAGAACCCCAATCAATAATATCAATACAGCGGTATAAATGTAAGAATGCACGTAAATCTCTTCCAGTAGATTCCTGGAATACGTGGAGATTAAGTGCTTTATTGTTGTGACATTAAACTAAGCTCTGATCATTACTTCTGTGGAAAATACAGTCATTGGAAAGAATAAATCACAGAGTTAATTTCAGTAATCAAGCTGAACAAAAACAAACATTACAGGAACACCTGAAAACTGATAAGCCTGATGTTCCTTTAACAACAACTGAAAGCTGCTGCTAGACTACCCAAAATAAAGAAGTTAGTTAGTTCTGCATAGAAAAAAAAATACAAAGAGGTGTAAGTTGAGACAGAGAATTTAAAAAAAGAAAAAAAAAGAAAATGCATGTGTGCACATGTGTGCAGGTACTTAAATAATGCAATGGAGACACAACCAGTGCTGAGTGCGGAAATTTCCATGATAATGAAATACTAAAAAAATTTACACGTTAAAACAAAGCACTATCATTCTCATACCTTCAGACACAGACAATACTTTCAAAAGTTTAAAAGAGAGGCAGGTCTACAAATAAACATAGAAAATAGATGACAGGAGTTTAAAATGTTCAGTGCTGCCTCTACTTCTGCATAAACATTAGTTTAAAAGGATAGAAAGATATGCCAGAAAAAATGAAATATTTATACAAGTGACATATATTCAAGAATAACTAAAAACCATAATGATTCAGGGATTGCTATTTCTTGTTCTCAAGTTAACTTCTGCATTTTTTTTTTAACTGAGTAGTCATAGCCTAGGTGGAACAGGTATAGCAAGGATGCACAATTACCACTAACAACTGAAGAGTTATTACAGAAAATCTATTTCAAAATCATTTTTTTTAAATCACTTGACTGATCGAATAGGAAAAAACATTCTCTAAAACGTATATGACACAAAGCAAAATCAAAAGCAAGATCATTAAGGACATGCCTTGATCTCATTTCCTCTAGCAATACAGTAATTCATTTCAAACTATCAACGAAAAAAAATTTTAACCCAAGAACAGCTCTGATAATCTGTGCACCTGCTTCCTTCCTTGAACTCAGCTGTTCAAGCAGAAATTTTGGAGGCATAAACTTGATAACCAAGGTTCAACTATTTAATTTACAACAGAAAAACTTGCCAGGAATTACCCTGTTATCACCCTTCCCACATTCATACACAGACACATATTTCTGTAATGATCAATGCTATGACATTTAGACTTGTTTATTAATGAAACTGTTGGATCAGAACTACAGAAAGACATACCTTTGTTGACGATGGCGGAGTAGGAAAATTAAGCCAGGCTGGAGCAAAGTCATGCTGCGCCATTTAGGTCCAGTCTCTCCAAATCAATGAAACAAGGCTTTAGCACCTCGTGGCAAGTCCCTGTAATAGGAAAAAAAAAAAAAAAGAAAAAAGAAAACAAGAAATGAGTGCTTTTCAGATGTTTATCTTACATGAATATCACACCTGATCACACCTGTGGTGTTTTGATAATTAATTCCCTTATGTTTTGTTGTATTATTTTCTCAGACAGATGTGGTTTGAAATCTTACTTAGCTATACTTCACTACATCATATTGTTCCTGTTACTACTGAAGAGTCACGCTAAGGAAATTTTTCATAAAGGTCATAAAAATAAAACTAACATTCATTCTTTTATTTTCCCTTAGAAACAGGATGAAGGATCTTGTGTATGGTCTGATTAGAGAGATATGAATCACATTGAAATACTTTCTAGTACTGCCCAGAACAGACAGTAGGAGCTTCTTTATTAGCTTCCTAAAATAGCTGATTTTTCAAATTAGCCCCCCAAAATTACTATCAGCCACCATATTGAGATTCCTCAATAAAAGGCTAAAATGCCTATGGTCACCAAGAACCCCGTATTTTCTCAAGACTGAATGGAAACAGAGCCTAAGTATTTAGAGATACTGTCAAAATCCAGTAGGATTGTCTAGTTTGAAAACAGACAAGATAACGACTTAAGTCAAAACCCAAGAGTATTTTTTCTAGCCAAAAGCAAAAAAAAAAAACCTCTCAGTAAGTAGAAGAATGCAAGATAATACAAACTACAATACAATACTGAACTATAGCACTGAAAGAAATGGATGAAACGCTGACAGGATTATAGGGTTAACTGAATCAGGCTCTTCAGCTAGATACTGTAAAACTGTCAGTGATTAAAATGCATTTTAAGTATCATATAAGCAGTACTAGAGATTCAGCTACTAAAAACAATTAACACCCAAATGCATGTTATAGGGATAGGCAAGGTATTGCATAGAGATCTGCATTTCATGTCTCCACATAAGAAAGTGCAGATCAGCATGCACAGATGTGTGTTACTTAGCACACTAACTGCTGTAATTTGAGTAGGCTTTAGTAAAAGCTGTGGAATCTGAACTTCATAACTGATAATAACCAATAATTATTATTGCATTCTGGCCTGAACTTGGCTATTTCAGACTTTCAGTGAAAAAGGAGAGCATTCCAATATCTAAAAAGAAGCTTAGCAGACTGCACTAAGTTGAGTAGCCGATTCTTTTTTCTGTCATGAGCTCATACTAACCTTATTTAGCTATCTATGCTCCAGAAATATTTAGATGTTGTACTAAGGGGAATGGCTTAGTGAGAACTATTGGTGATAGGTGGATGGTTGGACTGGATGGTCTTGGAGGACTTTTCCAACCTTAGTGTCTGTATGATTCTATGATACTAGAGTTAAATTATAAAGCAGGATGCACCAAATCAACTAGACTACAATAAAAATAAGTATAAAAGTATGTGTCACCCATTTAACTTGTCTTGCTTTAGTGTACTGAAGTCACCCAATGTGTTCTCCTAAATTAACCTCAAGAAAAAATCCATTAAAAAAATTCTAAAAAATCCAATTATGTCTGACTACAAAACAATGAAGTTCTAGAGTCACAGAACCATTACAAAAACTGACTCATCTTTTTAACCAACTCTTACTAATTAATCATGATCAGTAACCACACAGAAAAACAAAAAATAGTGTACGTTATGAAAGACAAAACAAGCTAAGAGATGCTAAATTAACAGCAAACTAATATGAACAGTCTAAGAAAAAAAATTTCCCCCTTCCTTCATCAGATACAGCTTCCTATTCCAATATGCAGAATTGTGAAATCTTTCTAAAGGATCAGAAGAGGTATCAGTCCTGAAAGATCACGACAACAAAAACAACAAAATAATTTTCAGACAAGAAAATTACTGTCTTAAAAAACAAGAAGAGATTCAGTATAAACCAATTAGTACATATGAAAGGATTCAGAAAGATTACAGATTTTTTCGTGAATCAGACATTAGATGTAGGACAAAGGCGCTAACACTTATTCTTAATAAATAACTGCAACTGTTTTTAGAAAAGTAGTCAAGCATAAAAGTCAAACATTACTATTTAATCACTGCCATGAAAAGAATTTGTGCTTAATTCAGTAACATTCCTAGCTACCAGCTTTAACAATCCCGTTTTCATTAGAAGCAGGAACTGTGTTTAGATGATCAAGCAAATATTCAATAGCTCTAGGATACTCTTCATTCTCAGGAAGATATTCCTGCTAAGCTGAAAACAGATCTCAAGGTGTGAATGGAAGGCCAGAAAGACTACTCTGATGATTCAGGCAGAACTTGCTATGCTTAAACCACTGGTGGCAGCCCTATGTAGAACAACTTGGGGACACTGGAATGTGGACACAGGATGAAAAGCTTGACATGAGACAACAGCATGCATCTGCAGCCCAGGCCAATAGTATCCTAGGCTGCATCAAGAGTGGTGGCCAGTAGCAAGGTGACTAACCCTCCCTGCTCTGTCCTTGTAATCTGGAATACCGCATTCAGTCCTGGGGCCCCCAGCGCAAGAAAGAAGTAAAGCTGTTGGGGTAGGAGGGACACAAAGATGATCAGAGGGCTGCCAGCACCTCTCCTATGAAGAAAGGTTGAAGGAGCTGGGCTTATTCAGTCTGGAGAAAAGAAGGCTCCAGGGAAATCTGTTTGTGGCCTTCCAGTATTTGGAGGGATATTATAAACAGGAGGAGGACTGACTTTTCATGTGGTCTGACAGTGACAAGACAAAGTGAAGTGGTTTTAAACTAAAAGAGAGGAAGCTCAGGATAGAAGTTAGGAAAAAATTCTTTACTCAGAATGGTGAAGTGCTGACAAAGCTGCTTGTAGAAGCTGGTGATGCCCCATCCCTGGAGGTGTTCAAGGCCAGGCTAATGGACCCCTACGCACTCTGACCTAGCAGGTGGCAATCCAGCCATGGCAGGGGGATTGGAACTGGCTGGTTCTTCAGATCCTCCCAACCTAAGATATTCTGTGATTCCACGATTTATAATCACTTCGGTTGCCAAACAACAATTTGATTTCAGGTTGCTTTCACATTTGATTTCAGGTTGCTTTTTCACAAGTCAAACCAACAACTGAGAAAGATTAAGTTTCTTCTGTAACATGCCCCAGCACTGAGATGCTCTTCCATCATTTAAAAGGCTTCTTTTACAAGATCAGATTTACAAAAAGATTTTTTTTTCCCCCCTGCTATTCAAATCCATTACAATTTAATCTATTCCCAGCGGTCAGTGATATTTCTGCAATCTATATCCTCCATGGTAGTTACAACCTCTACTCAGAGTTGTGCTATTTATAAATTTAATGAGCATACAATATTTCATTACTGCAGTTATCAATAGAAATACTGAAGAGAAATATTTGGCCTATGAGATCTAATTCATTTGATTTATACTTCCAGCTTAACATTCTACAAGAGCTTCATTTACGAAGCCTCAGGATCCTGTAGGGCAAATAGACAGCATTGATACTCCATTCATTTTTCAGTAACATTTCAGAAATATAGGATTTGTCCTACCTTCAACTAAAAATACTCATTATTTAAACACAATTAAAATAAATAGTATACACTCACACATGCATTAGCAAGAACCTGCTTTAATTACACTGACAGACAATGAATAACTCTAACTAGCACACCACGTACACACCACATAGCAGATCAACCACAGTTCATCTGCACAGACAAAACAGCTGTTGTACTCCCAACTTTAAAGTAGACAGCAGATATATTGTGGTAAGCTCCACAAACATGAACACAGTGATTCCACCGCTTTCAGAACTTCCTTAGGTAACAAAAAATTAGGCCCAAAATTGATCACAGTGATGAATTCATCATTTCCTGGTAGCACAAACTCAACACAACACTGCTTTTAACAGAAGCATTATGAAAGCTAACCTGGCCAAACAACAATGAAGAGATAGTTCCAAATGATGTATAGTTGAAGAGATTTGTCATTAATACAATCCCCCAATCTGAGCCATGTGAGCCATTGAAATGAGCAAACTGTATCCAGTGTAAACTACAAATACCCAAAAAAGATGGAGTGGATGTGCTCTGATGTTTTGGTTTTTTGTTGCTAATGTTTTTGTTTGGTTGGTTGGTTTTACAGCTGACAGAGTCCTTTCTTGACCAAGTATTTTTCTCCAGCTTTAAAGTAGCTGGAAACATACACTTTTCAAGCAAACTAATTTCTCTTATACCAATGAAGAGGCAACATACATTGAGAAAAGGGAAGCAAAAAAGCAACTGCACAAATTGTAAGTCAAGACTTTCCTGAAAAGGCTAAAAAAACCCAAACCATCTAGAGCAATTACCAAAACTCTGCATGAGAGAAAGGGAAAATAAATAACAGAGCTAAAAAACTATCATTAGCCTGTGCTTACCAAATTAAATAAAGAAATCAAATCATCAAACAGTACAGTCAGTCTTACCTAAACTACTACTACTTTTTTTATTTTTTTTCTTTTAAGTCATCACAGAACAAGATACAATCATAACAGACAAGAAGAGTCTTTTCAAAAACTTCCTGGCCTTCTCTGCCTCCTAAAACAAAGACCTAAGATGCATTTGTTCATAAATATCTAAGGAGTAAATTCCACTGAGAAAAAAGGTGTTTTATTCCAAAACATAATGAGAGTACAAGAGAGAACAGTCATGATAAATTTAGTCTGGAAACAAAGTTTTGAAGACCAGAAAAACAGGACAATTCAGATAAACAACATTTAAATCTGCCCAATCCTATTATGTTTAGAAGTCAGACACTAGTAATTGTTACATGTTAAACTATATAATTACACAATGCATGTACACAAATATAACCTTGTAATAATTAAGCCAATTTTTCCCTTCTTGGGTGGTAATCACAATAAAGTTCCTGCAGGAAGCTTTTCCCTTCTCCTCTCTGGAAATGCTATTTCAAATCAATAGCATTTAAAAAATAATTTTTCTAAATGTGAAGACAAGAGAGAGCAACCAGCATACGAAACAAATTCATATTTCTTTTTCAGCAATA